CGGAACGCATAAGAGCAGGAAGAAGGACGGCGAGGACAGTTCTGAGGAGGAAGATTACGAGATTCCCACTCCTGGCGTTATGAAGGTGAGCGTCAACTATCATTGAGATCCTAATGGCAACTGACAGCTAATTGTTATCTAGCCTGACATTACATTCTTTGGCGAGGACTTGCCCGACGAGTTTGGCCGTCGTCTGCTTCATCATGACCGCGATAAAGTGGACTTGGTCATCGTGATTGGTACATCGTTGAAAGTAGCACCTGTGGCCGAAGTGCCGGGTGTTCTCCCACGCCGTGTCCCTCAGATCTACATTTCTCGTACTGTACGCTACGCTCCAATCCCATGGACATTGCTCGCCTTGGAACTGACCCATTGTGTAGCCTGTGACGCATACGTGCTTCGATATTGACCTCTTGGGTGATTGCGATGTTGTAGTCTCCGAGTTGTCTCGTCGGGCCGGTTGGGACTTGAAACATGACATGATACCCCTTGATGAGAAGGTTGAGATTACTCGTGTTGAAGGATATGATTCACGATATGAATTTAAGGTTGTGGGCGCATAGCGGCGGAGTCTTGTCATGGTTATTTTGTTACTGTCTATCGGTTTGGGGATGGCGCAGGTCTGTGGGTTTATTCTAATATTCGCATCTTGCGGTATCGTCTGTCAGAGGTTATACAAGGTTATACTGAAGGTCAACTTCAGTAAGGGATATGTTTGTCATTTATTTCACTGTTTTACAAAGGACATAAGAGCTGGAGCTGGCAAGAAGCGAACCCCTCTCCAAGAATAGAGTCCTTAAGGTCATTGAAGTTGTTTTCTAGTAATCAATATGACTTTTCGCACCGAGACGAGTTGTTGTAGCGTATTGTGCTCATTTTTCTGCGCATTCCCTGCAGTGTGGGTTGGGCCGATAGTTAGCAGGTTCCGTTTCGCGGCAAAAGTAGAAGAATCGAACAAAAGTCATCAAAGTCGACGCAATCACCATTTGACGCACCATACAGCCAAGGCTGGACTGGATTCATCCTTACCTACTCATGCAAACTTAGGAGTAATTGATTGTCCTTTCATTGTCTATCCAGAAGCAAAGGCCGCATCCTGGCCTGGTTGCATCGCAATGGAATACTTGATCCGCTTCGCTCAAGTGCACGAAAGTTTTCGACGGCCGGAGATCCAAGCACTGGCAGCTCTGGCTGAAATTGACCTTGAGACTATTTCTTACAATGAATTTGTAGGTGCTCTTCTCATATTTCCCCCTGACCGCGGTTCACCTTCCATGTCGGATCGTAATGATCTTGGGCGGGTTCAGGTTGGATTTTTTTTTGTTCCCCGCGCCTCCATCGTTCGACAGAAATATATCATTACATGCACAGCTGACCGAAAGAGCAGTCACCATATTGCCTTGTCAAGCTGGCAAATGAGGAAGCTGCACGCGGACTTATTGTTCGTAGTATCCTAGCAAAGGATATCTTCGAGCTCTGGGCCCAAGGCACTAACTATGAAGAAGTTCATAGCGACGTCCGCAGGCGGACCCAGCATCGCTGGAACGACTACAAGGATGTATCATTTCGTTTTACCATCGAGAGCTTTGCTGGAAAGCGGAGTAATGAAGAGAAACGAGACATTATCCAGTCGTTCGCCTATCTTGACTTCCAGGGTCCCATTCGGATGAAGAACCCAGATGAGGATTTCTGGGTGCTAGAGGAGTATATCCCAGACGTTGCAACCTCAAAGACGACGACCTCTTCAAGTACAACACGGCCGGCTGAATTACAAACTCCGCAGAAGATCTTTTTCGGACGCTGGGTTGCTAATAGCAGCCGGGAGGTCGTCAACAAGTACGACCTTAAGAAGCGCCGGTATATCAGCACCACATCGATGGATGCTGAGTTGAGCCTAGTCACGGCTAATATGGCCCATGCAGCGCCCGGGAAGCTGTTCTTTGATCCGTTTGTGGGAACAGGAAGCTTCTGCGTTGCTGCTGCGCACTTTGGCGCCCTGACTCTCGGCTCGGACATTGACGGACGTAGCTTTCGCGGCAAAGAGATGGGGAAGGGTAAACCGATGGGAGTATTGTCAAATTTCCAACAATACGGCTCTCAGAGCAAATTCGTGGATGTCTTTACTTCCGATCTGACAAATACACCTCTCCGCTCCAGTCAGTTCCTAGATGGCATCATTTGTGATCCTCCTTACGGTGTGCGTGAAGGGCTTCGAGTTCTGGGCACTCGCGATGGGCGTGGGAAGGAAGAGGTTTTGATCGATGGGGTTCCGGCTCATCTGTAAGTTCGCATCAAAGATGTGTCAATCCATAATTTGCTGACGCGTCTTCAGGCGGCCGGACTACATCGCACCGAAGAAACCTTATGGATTTGAGGCCATGCAGAATGACATCCTCAACTTCGCCTCACAGACCTTAGTTACAAATGGACGGCTGGCTATGTGGATGCCAACGTCCAGCGACGAGGAAGGGGAATTGGCCATCCCGATGCATCCGAACTTGGAGGTCGTGTGCGTCTCTGTACAGCCGTTCAACAACTGTAAGTTCATGGAAAGAATGCATTGCAATAGCACCATGTCTGATTAGGCATCTTAGGGTCCCGACGCCTCATCACTTACCGCAGACTCCCGGAAGGAGAGACGTCAGACGTCTCTGTGGGACGAAGGAAAGCTGACGCCGAGGGGATGTATGCTGATGAGCTCAATGCCTTCAGGAGAAAGGTCAGTCACTGTCTTGTCTATATCTGCAGAGAGTATATGACTAACAGAGGTTCAGTATTTCATGAAGAACCCCAACTCCAAGTCTAAATCCGGCACAGAAAGCGATGTATCTCGATGAAACAACAAGCTTGCTTAGCAATATGAAGGCATCTCACAATCATTGTCACTTAATGGATTATAATACGCCCCTCATAGGAGCCAACTTCGAGTCCGGTTGGAGAGCATCACAAGATAGAACGCGACGTAGGTATCATCCATCAAAACAGATATAACAAACAGTAGCACAAAGCTGCTACCTCACAGCTTCCCCTTTATCCTCCGATAACGCACATCCGTAGCCGCCACATTCAAATCAACGCCTTCCCTCTCCTCCACTCGGCGAACTTCCTTCGCCAGTTCTTCTCTCAACGCCTTGGCTAACCTCTCTCCCTCCTCATCATCCAGTTCATCCCTCTGCCCCCGCCCAAACATGACGAAACTCATTTTGGCTGCAGTAGGCGCAGGATCCAACGGCGGCCTGGGAATGACATGGAAATGCACATGGGGCACCTGCTGTGCGGCTCTGATGCCTGTTCAATGCTTGAGCAAGAGTCCTAACCAGCCAAAGCGAACCCGATAACGTACCATTATTCTGCACCACATTCCAACTCCACTCTGATTCTGGCTCCGTGCCAAAGACAGTTCTCATCACGACCCGCGAGATGATAGGGAGCCACTGGCCCATCTGCGGCGACCGTATCCTTTAGGGTTTGCTCTTGCAGCCTGAGAAAGGGGGTTAGAGGGTATACTGACCTCTCTGCTGACTTCAACGTCCATGTCCTTGACCTTCTCGTAGTGGTCTCTCGTGGCGACGAGAACATGTCCCCTTGTCAACGGCATGATGTCCAAAAAGGCGAGGACACATGGAGTCGAAAGTACAAGGTGCGCATGTGTTTCTTGCGTCGCATCTGTGGGGATGATGCCTGACCCTTGTGCGCCATCCTGTTTCTGTTGAGGATGGAATATCGAGGGTGGGATGGGAGGATATGCTGCTGCGATGCGGCAGAAGGGGCATGACGCTGATGATGACGGTACGGTCATCCTGTTATTCTGTCTCAATTGAGCCTAGATAGAGTCTCTGTTGATGCGAGCATCAATGAGGTCCAAGAATGGTAGCGAGCGCTTGGTAGTCTGAAGCAGAGGCCCATCTGCCAGGGCGAATTGAGGGGACGATTGACCTCAAAGCATGGTATCTCTACAAGCATAAAAACTATGTACTCTCAGCCAATGTATCAGGAAGCTTGTGACTTCCACTGTTCGATCGCACGACTCTGGCCTGATGAATTCAAAGTGGCTGGGGTGAGAGTGATCCTCCTCACTCGGGACCTCGGCTTAAATCTTGACACCTACCTCTATTCTGAACTGATTTGTGCTATCGATTTACGACTTTTTGGACTTCCAATTGTGGGAACTACTCGAGAATTTTAGAAACTCAATCAAGGCAAGCTATGCGGAATTTTTCGAATGTAAAGTGTGATACATCTAACCACTCAGCCAAAAAGGCGTCCAGACAACCATCTCTAGCTAGTAGGGATGATAGCAGTAGTAGGGTCAACACAGCAGGGACACAACATAAAGCGAGGACCTGTGAATTTCCTTTTGTGGTTAGTTTTGCCGTTTTGGGTATGGTCTTGTAAACACCGCCCGCATCGTGACCTCCAGTATATAAGAACCGTCGCCTCGCTGTCCTAACATCATCTCTCCCAACTTCTTCTTTCCCCGTATCCCCCCAAATATTCTACACCCTTCCTGCCAAGATGGCTACTACCAAACCCCCTTTTTTTTTCCCATCGGAAATTGCGGCTGCGCCTCCCCCTCTCCTCTTGTCCACTTCGCAGTTTCCTTTCCGGCCGTCAGCCTTGACCGGTTGTTGAGCTGGCCAAGCTGATTATGTTCCCCCCCTTTTTTGGCTTCCGGTGAATTCATCCAGATTGCAAGGGGGGGGGGAAGGTGCATTGCCTGGTTATCCCGGGCTTGTAGCAAAACCCGTTAACTTTAGAGCTATAGTTCCACAGACGGACTTCTACATGATTCACTTGCTCGACTTTCCCTTCCAAAAGAGCAAGACGCAGATACTGCAACTTTCAACAACTCCAAGGTTGAATACACCTTACCGCCGCCCCCACTCCCCTAGTCTTTCCGCGGTCACTGGTTCCAGCGTCGCATTTGCGCTAATCATGTGCACTCGATGAGCCGTGTATGCGCTTTAGAGAATCTGGGTAGGATCGAATATGATGGAATATCACAAAGGAGTATCACGAAGCTCGTCCAAATCAAAGAAAGTAAAAACCAAAGACTTCTGCCACTCTACATGATTGCGGTCAAGCTTGAATCCCACGTTGGACAGCTTTGATTCGAGAAGATCGGTCCAATCGTAACGGGAATCGTCCGGCGCGTCAAGATTAAATCCACCACTCCGATACGGCTTAAGAGGGATCCAATACTTCGGATAGTACCCAGCTGATTCCCAGTCTAAGATAGCCTCGATAGTACCGTCGTCTGAGAGTAGAATGTTGGTTGGGCCCAGGCCGGCATGATAGAAGTGAAACCTATATCCTATAGGTGGTAGCGGCATAGTGGATATTCTGAGGAAATACTTCTCAGCTTCGGTGAGAGAGAATGGTCCCAACGGCTGGGGTTTCCACGACGGGTGTGAGTCCTCTGGCTCCACGGTTAAAAAAGGTTCGAGGACTCCGCAGCCTGTTGCAGACTGTAGCTTCTCCGAGGTTGCTTCAGCAAGGTCGCGGCAGTATTGTGCAACAGTGATAGCGACATCAGCTTTTTTCTCTAAAGTTAGAGTTGGCCAGGCACTCGCCAGCGTTTGCCCCTGGACCCGTCGCAAAATCAGGAAGGTCCTGCTGAGTCGCTCGTCGACCCACGAATATAACCTCAGGTATTGGAATATGTGGGAACCGCGACGCAACAAAAGAAAGAGTATTGATTTCTCTTTCCATTCCATCAGACCATGTCTTGACCTTACAAATCGCATGTGTCCCAATCGCCCAGACGGCGGATGACATGCCAGCCTGGTAAATGAGGCCATCAGCTGCCTTCTCTAGTGAGTTAGCACTGGTAGCTTCGACAAGATAGTACTGCACATCGTCGTCTCTCCATGTGGCAACTGCAGTTTTCGGAATCCCGTTTGTGGCCTTTTTGCATAGGAGCTTTGAGCCCATCTGATATGTATCTGGGTCCAATTTCGAGACGGATACTTCAATTGGAGGGGAAGGCTTGCTATTTACTTCTGTTAGCGCATTGCATCGCAACTGAATCTTTGTAGTTCTTACTGGAAAATCATCTTATTGTAGTCAACTGAAGCGTTGAGATTGAGTTGGCCGAAAGGGAAGAAGAGAGGATGAAAACTGAATATCCTAAAAAAGAGCGGTGTGCAGTGTACATGTTGTTATGTTTACTGGTCACCTGCTTTCCGTGATCATATCCAGAACTTCAGAAGTAGGGACTCAGGTTTGGCCTGATTTGACAGCAATCCTGCGACTTGAATTGGAAGGGGGCAAGCTCCTGTTAATGGTAATTAGCTACTGAACAGCACTCCCATATTCTAAAAGCCTTTCAATCAGGAACCATTATTGGGTCAGATTATGCTCTACTCACCTATAGCAGCATTCATGAAGCCTTCTTTATCATGTTCTAACAATCCTGCACCCGCAGGGCCAAACACTCTCGTGAGTCTTAGCAACCTGGTTCTCAGCATTCTCTTCAGTTGCACACCAAGCCATTGATATCATCCCAGCCTTCCCGTGGTTGAAGAGACCAATTCCTTTAGAAGTATAACAAATTGAAACTATCTTCAAACCATACTTTTGTGCATAGGCATAAAGTAAGCTACTTCGCCATGAACGTATGGCTCAACAATCACTTGATTTTTCTTTAGCAATCAAAATGTTGGTTTAGATTATGGGATTCCACTGTAACCCCACCGTACATTGCATATCTGGTTCTGACCAATTGCATAGCAACAACACTTCTACCAGAGGAGCGTCTCAGTATCGCCAGCAATGACTGATAGGGAATGACTGAGGCACTAATCTCTACAGGAAATCATTATTGATCTCTAGCTGGACCCCGCAACCCGTTGTTAGTGGTGTGGATCAAGTAATTGTCCAATCAAAGCCGCTGTGTTCGAGGATTGTTGCAGCGATACCTTGAGCTTCGATGTAGGTAGGTACAAACGAGCCACTGAGATGGCACTACATACATACATGAGGACTTTTAGCTTATTGACACCCCTCCTGAGGACACAGCATCTTTACTGGGCTGGAGAGGTCTGTACGTCGAATTAATATTGCTGTGTCGGCCGACAGTGAATTACTCTTTAGGTGATGAGCCCGGAACTTGCGAGAACATTCCATGGACGAGATTGACACATCTTAGTATCTGTGTAAATTATGCTTCAATATCGACTACTGGTAGCTGCGCTTCTTTGCTGGATCCGTCAAATAGCAAAGAGAGACGGGGAAGAAGTCACCAGGTAGGGGCCTAATTCGAATGTATGTAATCCCGCCCTAGAATTTGGCCCAAGCAGTAGCCTGTCGCGAAGGGAACGTACGACAGGACTTTTGACACCCTGAATCCTCGCCTATAGACTACGGCAGCATGTGGAGCGTCATTGATTCGTGAAGTCAGCTGCGCACGAGGAACATTCGGCGCATACAGAAGACCAGTAAGGTGATCGAACCAAAAATTAAGTCAAATGGAAATACATTTCCAACCCTGAAGCTTTCAACAGTTGTGATACCCATAGGCGGGCAAGAAGAAGAATGTGTAGAAGGTATCAATCAAAGCTTGTGCGAAACAACCCCGAAGACTGTGCCGAAACCAAAAAAAGCTTAAAGAACTTGAACAGACGATGCGCCAGACACCCCCGAGAGAAGCGGATAATGCCAACGTACGCAAACTGAAAAACAGAAATGCCGTCATAACCGTATGCAAGAGGTGCCCTTTTACCATCACAAAACAAACAAATGCCGACATATAACTTGAATTGAATCCGTTGCTCTAACACGGAGATATGTGGCATATCGAGGCCATGACCAGCATGCTAGCACAACATCGATGCGCGCCTATTCACTTTCTTTAATGAAGTTGTACGGTTCCGTGAGAGCGCTATCAATGTACATGTGATGGTATTTCTTGGCCCACTGCCGGGTAAGGATGGAGGCTAGACAGACTGATTAGCTGCTGTTGAATTCCGACGGCACGATCCTGGAGAGCTTACCCTTGAGGAACTTTTTGCTTGCATATTTCTTGAAGAAGGCTTCGTGACATACAGGACGGTGAAGGTAGTCGATCATCAATCGGAAAACAGGGTCGATCTCTTCCTCGGTATAGCCAGCATAGTGCGCTAGGGTGGCGTCCTAGTTTGAATTAGCTTTACAAAGAAGTCACTCTGCCTCGCAAGTGGGAAGGTCCTTACCCAAGCCCCACGTTCCAGGATCAACCGAGCGAGATACATCGCGGCTGCGGCGACGTGACTTTGAGGATAGCACATGAAGCGATGGTCCAAAAGGCTAATTTCCATGAGGTACTTGCCGAGGGTACGAGTCTGGATGTCATAATTGTCTGCCTTCGAAATACGACGGAGGAAGTTCATGGGGTTGGGATAGCTCATGTTGTACTCGAGGGTGGCTAGGATGTGGCGTTCGGCATCGAGAATCTCCTTGTCTGTGAATGTCTCGTCTGCGACGTGACTGAAGTTGGCCACATGGGGTGAAAGAACTTCCTCATACTTGGAAGCAATGAACATGGCGGCAACTCCGACCAATTGAAGGCGATCAAGTGCGACGACTTCAGCAGAAAGGAAACGGTCGATGATGTTCACAGCGAGGAAAAGCGTCTCGGGGAGGAGACGGAAGCGTGTGTGAACTTCAATCAGCCAGTCGACAAGAATGCCACGCATCTTCCACTCAAGGTCTGGTTGGTGCTCAATGTACTGAGGGTTGGGTAATGTCTCCAACTCCAGGTCTCTCAGGTAGTCAAAGATCTCCACCACATATTCAGCGGCCATCAGAGGATCGTCCAAATCTTCGGTATCCAAGTCGTCGACTACGTCCTCAGGCTTCTTGGCGACTTCAGGCTCAGCGGCAATCACAGCATCTTCTTTCACTGTGGAAACCTTCTCCACGGCTGTCTTCTTCTCGGTGACCTTCTTCTCGATTTCGACCTTCTTGCGCGGCGGTTCCTCGGCCTGCAGGGTTTTCTCCTGTACCGATTTCTGGCTGGACGTCCGTTTCATTTGTGCGCTGCCGATACCAGAACCACTTCCAGGACGCTTTCCTTCAACCGCAGGCTTCTTCGTGTTGCTATCTTTGGCGCCCAAGGCCGTACGTGATGAGTTGGTCCTGCTCAGCTTCTGAACACCACCAGTCTGCATGGTAGCTTTCGAGGTCAAGCCGACCTTGCCAGACGCGGATTTCTTCGTTTCCTTGGCTTCGCCATTTTCCGTTTTTGTAACATTGCTGACATCTCCAAGGGCAGCGCGTCTTCTTGTTGTTCCCGTTGTCGTCGAGCTGGTGGCGGCCTTCTTGGTCTGAAGAGGTTTTTTAGCAGCCGCGGTGGTTGTTGGAACATCTCCTGCTGACAGAGCAGCGGCCTTTGCTCGTGTCAGACGCGTCGACGGCCCGTTCTCGTCATTTTCGTTCATTGTACCTCGTGTACGAAGACCTCGGGCCTGTTACAAGATCAATCAGAATACAATTGCAATTGTCAAACCAAAGAGCACAATGGCTTTCGAAAGATGGTAGGTAGAAACATTACACGTGTCTCTCATGGGTAGAACTTACCGGAGGCATGATGCTGAAGAGAAGAGAGAGAAGAGGTACGTAGGAAAGCGAAGGAAAAAGAAAGGAGATATACTGTAGCTATTGTCGACCTGCAGAAGCTCTACAGTCAGCATTCCAGGAGATCACCCCGGTGGGGATAGAATACCTGAGAGCCAAGGCGCAGATTGCACGTACCACGCGTGGAAATACGTTCAATGAACCAGCAATGCAACTTGAAGGAGAATTCCTACTTATAGGAAGGGAATTTTGTTGCACAGTCGTCAAAAATAATCGCATATATGGGCCCAATGATGTTGTTGACAGAACCTTTTGAGGTCTCAAATCACGTCCTATTCGGGCGCGCAAAACAAGTAGAACCTCGTGTCAGCGAGCAGATTTTCATAGAATGTCTCGATGGCTAGAGACGACACGCGAAGAACCGATGATTGTGTGTTTTCGAGGTGCTCTTCGCTGTCTTGAAGAAGCAGTACTGCTGGGGTGGTGTAAAGAAGGTTGGTAAAGTTGACAGGGCAAAGGCGATGTTTGGCCCTACGCTTAGCGTGGAAACAAACTACGCTGGTAAAGCTGCCCCACAGCACAACCACCAAGTTGTATGATGTAGATACCGCGTAGAAGATGGAAGAGCTGATCTTGACAAACCCCGTATGAAGTATGAGATATGAGATACTTGGCTCAATTAATATAATTTATGAGTGAAGAATGGCATCTGATAAAAAGGAAATACGAGACACCTCATGAGACACTGCAAAAAGCCAAAGTAAAAGATGGACGGAAAGGGGTGGTGACGGTAATAAAAGGAAGTCTCCCAGATGGTAAGGTAATAGGTATTGTATGGATCTTCACTGGATGTGGATGGACAAAAAGAGGTATCGAAATCTCCGGTACCTACTACAAGGCTACCAGCTCGACTCACTAATTATTCTTGAAAGTGGTCCAACTTATGGGACATATTCAATATCTCTTCTCAAATAGCGTAGCTACTACTTCCAATAGATATCTTCATATAGTGACTGTCCTCTACACGTTGATACAGGATGCATTGAAGGTGACTGGCATGAAGCAAAGCAAGGTACTATACGGAAATCTCCGTTCCGTATAGATATCGTCATCGACAGAACGATTATTTACAGTGGTGGAGGCTCTCTGTCAAACGAGTATCGATGCCTGAAAGTTTGTCCCTAGGCAGGAAGTCAGACGCCCTCGCGGGCATCAAACGTGATGCAGCGCGCGCCCGACCACCCAAACAATATGTTGTTGCCCAGCAACCGGGTGAACCTCTGAACCTTCTGTTCGACGTGTTCCCGTGTCGCGCAGTCACGTGATATTCCCCTGCTGTGCCACAATTGACATGCGGTGGCCGTGCAGCAAGTCAGGTGATATCCTCGCGAGCCACATCCGCACCAGAAAGTCAAGACATTTTCCGGAGCACAAGCAGATCACGACGGCACTCCCATTGGCGAAGGAGTGTTGTCATCGGTTGAAAGGGTGTCTGGATCTTGTTTCTGATTCTATTGTTCAGCATTGAGGGGGCATGCTTCACCATTGATTGCTTACTTGCTCCTCAAATCGCGCAGTCCGAATCTCGCAGCTCCGGCAGCGCCTGGAATATTTCCGATCAATCGAGATACAACTTGACATCATGCTTCAACCTCGGTTTGCCCTCACGGGTCTTCGCCTACCCTTCAGATGCCTGTCTTCAGTATCGTCACGAGCATATGCAACAGTCACCCACGAGCAAGAGAAGCCCCCGGTTGAAGACTCATCCAGCTCAACCTTCGATCCAAGCATCGCCTTTGCCCCTCCACCAACCCGTGATGATGCCGGCGTTCTCCTTCGATCGTACAAGCCGCGGACTCCCGGTATCAGACATTTGCGAAGGCCAGTCAATGACCATCTGTGGAAGGGACGTCCGGTGCATAAGTTGACATTTCCCAAACGAGGCCAGGGCAAGGGTGGTCGAAACAACACGGGCAGGGTCACCGTTCGGCACCGTGGTGGTGGCCACAAACGCCGCATTCGAATTGTCGACTTTGCACGGACTGCTCCGGGGCCACATCTGGTAGAACGCATTGAACACGACCCTGGGCGAAGTGCCCATATCGCGCTTGTGCGCAGCCAAGAAACCCAGAAGCTGAGCTACATCCTGGCTGCGGAAGGTATGAGAGCTGGAGACGTTGTGCAGAGTTATATGTCTGGTATTCCGGAGGATCTTTGGAAGAGTATGGGAGGTACCGTTGATCCTGGTGTTCTCGCTGCCAGGACCGCTTGGAGAGGAAATTGCTTGCCCTTGCACATGATCCCCGTAGGTACTTTGATATTTAACGTTGGACTTCGGCCCGGCAAAGGGGGCCAGCTGTGCCGGAGCGCGGGCACCTACGCAACTGTCATCTCGAAGGGCAGCGATACTAAAACCCGGGCCAACGAGGTCGAAACCCAGGAGGATGGAACGGAAGTCCAGAAGCCCCTCCCCCAACGGGAGAAGCAGAAGCAAGAACGTATCGCTCAACATGTCACCATTCGTCTCCAAAGCGGTGAAGTTCGACTTATTCACAAGGACTGCTGCGCAACGGTTGGAGTGGCCAGCAATCCTAACCATCAGTATCGGCAGCTCGGTAAGGCGGGTCGGTCACGCTGGTTGAATATCCGTCCTACAGTCCGTGGTCTCGCCATGAACGCTGCCGATCACCCTCACGGTGGTGGACGTGGTAAGTCGAAGGGTAACGTCGATCCAAAGAGTCCTTGGGGTCTACCGGTATGTACACGCGAAATCACAGGATCGAATGCTTTTATGATCATTCATTTACTGACATCTTGGTCCAGGCCAAATCTGGCTACAAAACCCGGCCCAAATGGAAGATCAACAAGGCTGTGGTGGTCCCAAGAGTCCGCAACCAAGGCAAGCGTCGCAGAGGCTACAACTGAGCTTCCTTTTCTGTGTTCGTTGACGTTTCTCCCCGCCTTTATTGCATCGGGGAACTGTTTAACCATATTTCCACCGGGGAAACGTGCAAAGGCTGTGTCTCGTTGATCTAGCATTGTGACATGTCCTTGCTTCCTTCAGTTCATTGTATTCCTCGAATATTTTCATGTCTAACTGCGGAGGATGGGTCCTCCGCTCACACTGTATCATACTTTGACTCGATTTGGGCGCCAGGCATGCTGTCATCGATATCTTTCAAGATTCTTGTGGTTATTCCTGCGCTCTATGGTTGTTAGATTGTATTTCCATGCGTTTGCCATGGCTGTCTGGTCTACGGTCGAGACACACATGATCACCTGGGGGAAAAAATGCCTCCTGATCCCAGTTGTCTTATCGAACAGCATGTTCAGAAAACTTCAACCCCAAATTAGCCCTGAAGCCGTGATGATGTAGACCGACCTAGATTACGCAATTCAGATGGCTGACGGTGGCTTCTACTGATAACGAGACTACTCTCTGGGACAGCTTGTCGTATCTAGACTCCAAAAAGATCCTCAATGCGATATGACCCGTATCTCATTTAGGCTGATAACAAAGACCATTACGAGTGCTTTGAGGCTGGCTTTGTTGAGGACGCGGGGTGATCACCAGTTCCAGATTGGGGAACAATCGTGGCGCTGTCAGCCCGTCACCAACCTAAAATGATCAACGTCAACGAATCTTCCTACTGCCTGTTCTCGACCTGAGCATGACACCTCTCCTGATTCTTCTTCTTCAACTCACTTTCATGCCTTCCAATGCTGCATTGGTATGTCTTTTCGTACTTTGTCATTGAGGTCGTGAAACCTCCGTTCTTGCGCCTTTGTCAAGTCGCATAGTCCCCAGAGCCACCGGATTACCTTTAGCGATACCTTTTCTACAAACCTCTGCTCTACTACCAGACCATGGCAGATTTCTTCGGCGAGAATTTTCTAAGCGTTACATCCTCTTCCTCTCAATTAAGGCCTACACCGACAACTCATGACCCACCATCAGCATCCACCGGCCATGGCGACGCGGATAACCTCCATCTTCCTCGTACCAAGCGCATCGCATGTGTGGTATGTCGGCGACGGAAGCTGAGATGCGACGGGAAGAGGCCGAGCTGCGGGACTTGCTCCCGATTAGGTCATGAATGTGCTTACGATGAGGTTCGCAAAAAGAGTGGTCCAAAGCGGGGTTATGTGAAGCAGCTGGAAGCTCGCCTTGGTACGTGATACACTTTCCCTTTCGGCGTTGTCTCTGAACAGGAGACGCTGCGCCCTGCATATTGCTAATAGTAATCCTCGTGAAGCCCAGGTCGAAAATTTGTTAAAAACCCAAGAGCCGAGTGCAGCCCAGACTCAAGAAAATCATAACCATATTCCAGTGTCGAATGAAAATGAGATGACGAGCTTACCGGACGTTCCCTTATTCGCAACCGATCTGAGCACCTCTCTGTCACCTCCGCAGCCAATAGTTGAGCAACAGGCTTTGTCTCAGGCATACCTACCGTCAGGACTCAATAATGGGGGTAACTTTGGTTGGGATATGTTGGCTCTGGGACTCGAAGAACCGTTGCCAACTCAGGATGTTATCGATGAATTGTACGCCTATATCATTTCTCACATCTCCAAATCAATATCTCATGCGTTGACAGGAACCAAATCTATTTCGACAAAGTGCATCCTTCGTTACCCATCTTGCATCGTCCGAGACATCTAGCAGCCATGAACTTAGCCTACAACATACGGCCCGCTGTGTGTCTACAGTATATGACCTGGTGCCATGCAGCCGCCGTCAGTGAGAAGTACTCAAACCTGCACGCTCTTTTTTATCAGCGGGCGCGCAAGTATGCTGAATTGGATGAAATGAAAGGCTTCGGGGAGAGCATTGTTTCTCTGGCACACTGCCAAACTTGGATCCTGATCAGCACATACGAGTTCAAAATGATGTATTTCCCGCGAGCGTGGCTTAGTAGCGGCAAAGCTACACGACTGGCGCTCATGATGGGCCTGAATCGGCTAGATGGGTTGGGTCCCGAAGTGAAGCAATCGTTACCACCCGCAAGAGACTGGACAGAAAAAGAAGAGCGACGAAGAACCTTCTGGGTGGCATTCTGCATTGATCGCTACGCTAGTGCCGGAACCGGATGGCCTGTCATAATTGATGAAAGAGATGTCAGTCTTGTACCCACTTTCCCACGGCGCCTAACATGCTACACCCTGGTTGATGGCAATTGCTGACCGTTGGCGATAGGTCATGACAAATTTACCCGCCAGTGAAGCATCATTTGTTAAGAGCAAGCCCGAGCGTACTCTACGTCTCAGCAGCGTTATGCGAGGGGAAGGGATCGCGACTTTGTCATCTCTCGCAAGTGTTGTATTGATGTCAGGCATGTTCGGTCGCAATCTTACCCATCTCCATCGCCCTGATCCGCAAGACAAAGACCACGATCTAAATGGCGAGTATTGGAAAAGGCACAGATGTCTTGACAATATTTTGCTCCATTTCGCGTTGACAATGCCCAGCCATCTGCGGCTTCCAGCTGGAATAGCAGACCCGAATGTAGTCTTCTGCAACATGGCTATCCATACGTCGACTATTTGTCTACATCAAGCTGCCATTTTTAAAGCGGAGAAGAACAAGATGCCCGACCAGATTATCACCGAGAGTAAGCGGAGGTGTATTGTTGCGGCGGACCAAATTTCGAGCATCATGAAAATGATCAGTCATACAGACTTGACTCTTGTTAGTCCTTCCACTTTTCCTTCAGCGGCCACCGCGATAAACTAATTTCCCATAGATGAATCCCTTCATGTCCTTTTGTGTGTACGTCGCCGCTCGGGTCTTCGTGCAGTATCTGCAGTCGCGGCCCGATGACTCGGCTGCTCGTTCGTCCTTGCAGTTTTTCTTCTCAGCCCTTGATGCTTTGAAGAACAAGAATCCCATGACCGAGTCGTTCCTTGTACAGCTCGACGTTGACATCGAGGGAACGGCGTTCCGCGATATACGGCGTCCAATGGGTGAGGCGCTGCCGGACAGGGTAAGGCCGCACACCTTATTTTTTTTCAATGGGCAATGTCAGACTGGAATTGCTAATGTTGCCTTGTTTTAGTTGCCTGGTTTTGTGAACGGAAAATGCACGTCCATGGTGCCTATTTACAACGAGTTCCAGACCTCTACTTCACTTCCAAATCGCCAAAGGCCAACACCAGCGCAAGGTCAGAACTCGGGAGGTGCACCGATGGCTGGAGTTTCGCAATCTTTCGTTGAACCGTCATATAATCTCAGTTCCGGGCCTGAGACGGTAGGCTCAGGGACAGATGTGGACCTTTCGCCGGGTTTCGACGACAATGGAAATCCGATGTCAGAAGGCTCAACATCGTCGGCCGTGAAATCATCCTCAAACACATCTTACGTCGGTGCTAGTAGCACATCATCGCCAAAGGTACGGCAACATTCGCCCTTGAATTTCTCGAATCAAACACACAGCCATGTGCTCGGTAACAGTGATTCGATGCATATGCCATCAGGCACCGCGAATACCGGGCAATTTGACGGTTTCTCGTACAATGATAATATCTTTTCAACCGACGCTATGTCATCTCTCGATACTACTGTTCCAGAGCCACCATTCCCCATTCCTCCATCATGGGATATTGCTGCTATGCAAACATCCAACGGAGAGAATACGAATATAACGCCCGCGACAATGGGGTCCCTCACCGAGACCCAGTGGGCAGAACTCCTCAGTTCCAATAACTGGGACGCCTGGCGAAACCAAGGCTAAGCCGAAAAGGCGGCCTTCGAATGCCAGCATTGTTGAGGCAACCTGGAAGCTTTTCGAAAAAGCAGGACTCGGAATTCGATTGAGTGTTTAAGCTCATCTGCTGGATATACGTGATACCCTTGCGTTGGGCGGGTGTCTGATAACGGCCAAGTCACGATTTTTTCAATGGCCTTGAAGTTTGGAGTTTCGGTGTATATGATTATGTGGAGTCTTTCCCTAATGCAATATGATAACATCTATGGAGGAAATATCGTGTTTTTGTATAATGCTCTATCAGCACATACCAGATTCAATACTTGGAAATAGCCTCAGTGCAACACATCCCACGAGCAAAAATATCTCATTCCATCTTCTGGTTCAGTTTCGCCAACAAATCAATCTTCCAAACCTAGTACATACTACAGTGCGGCGAGCAAGGCTGAGGAAGCTCAATAGCATATAATAACTAAGCCTCATAAGCTGCCACCAGCCGCACCGACGATCTTCAGTCCTCCGGCACCCGCACTTCCGGGCCCGTCAGCCGTGGTCGAATACGCGAGCCAGTAACGCGAGGGATGCCACGCAACAGTCGGTATGCCGGAAGCACTGCTGCCACCCGTAGGAACTGTGTAGACGCTCTCTCCCGTTTCGGCATGGAAGATCTCCAGACCGTTCCCGCCACAGCCTACCTCGTCGCAGGCGCCGCAGACAAAACGCCCATCGAAGCTCCAGCTCACGCCGCGGATGGCACCCCCGTTGTTACTCGAGACTGTGCGCCGGCAGATCCAGTCCGTTGTATCCCAGAGCGAGATCAGGGCGTCGCTGCCGCCGACGGCGAGGTACCGGCCTGTAGGCGCGAGGGCTATAGAGAGGCATGCGGATGTGTGTGCGTGAAGTGTGTGGAGGACGTCGAAGGACGGGTACGACATGATCTTGACGGTGCCTTCGCCTGTTGTGGCGAAGAGATGCAGGTCGGGAGAGGGGGGCGTGGGGATGTGGTGGGAGAAGGTCGTTGCATTGGTCTGTACAGGCTGTGGATGGGATTCTAGTGCGGTGTAGGTTGTCGTTCCTTCTTTTGAATTCGGTGATGATGCAGGGGGAAGGTGGGTGACGCCGTCTGTGAGAATATATGGTGAAGAGGGCGATTCTATCGATATGGGGATCAAGGTGTCGTCCTGGGATCCGGGAAAAGTCAGTCACTTTTCGATACGT